ACCTCTCCTACTTCCTGCACCTCTCCTACTTCCTGCACCTCTCCTACAGTCCTCTAGTTCTAGTTCATCTTCCTAGTATTCTTCTCATCCTGTTTTGTAGTCAATTATTTTCTTCATAGTTTTAATCTCATCTTAACCATCATAAATCTTTAGCTATAAATATTCTTTAAAGATAAATTATCCCTTAAAGATAGTTATCACTTGTTCACCAGCTAAATACAGTAATTTGCACCTATATTATTCCTACCAGAGTGACTAGACAAGCATATGCCACCCAATATGGCTAAATTGTATATTCTTGTAATGTTATTCCTATTTAAATTGTTGAAATCCCTTAAATGTTCATTGTATATATTGTTTATATTGTCCCTGCCTCGGCAGGGACATATAGTGAGCAATACTATGGTCTATGTTGCCAGTATTGTGCATGCCATTGTACAATTGTACATGCCACTCGACATGCCACAGTACAATTTTTCAGGCCACTCTACATGCCACTATACGTGCCACTCAACATGCCACTGTACAATTTTTCAGGCCACTCTACATGCCACTATATGTGCCACTCGACATGCCACAGTACAATTTTTCAGGCCACTCTACATGCCACTATACGTGCCACTCAACATGCCACTGTACAATTTTTCATGCCACTCTACATGCCATTGCACATGCCACTCTTCATGCCATTGTACAATTTTTAATGCCACTGTAAATGCCATTCTACATGCCACAGTAGAATTGTTCATTCCATTTTACATGTTACTACACATGCCATTACAATGCACTTGCTGTTATAGCTAGATTGATGTGCTAATAATAACAACAATAATTCAATAACGTGGGCAATTTATTCCTTGAGCGTTTTATTTTTTATTTTTAAATGAGTCATTCATTGTTCAGTAAGTAATTTGTTCGTTATGTGAGTAATTTGTTTATTTTCATTCATTTATTTATTTTTTCATTGTGGGTCATTTGTTTATTTTCATTCGTTCATTTTTGAGTGTTTATTTAAATTCATTTTCAAGTGGGTCGTTTATTTTCAAGTGGGTAGTTTTTTTAAGTGGGGTTTTACCGTTTCTGTTTTCTAGATCTTGTTTGGAGTTAAGCCTTACTTATCTTAATTTGGTCTAGAAATGGAGTCAATTTATGGCGTTATCTCACCTAGATAACTTCAAGAAGAATAGTTCTAATTAAGATTAATCATTCAATAAATACATTATTAAGATCAGGTAATATTAAAAAAAAGTGAGGNTCAAGAGTCCTAGCGCAAGTCACGCATCATGCATGGGGCGCAAATTTTGGCAGAAGCATTAACGCCATTCACGGTTGATAAACGCAATTCGAGTTAATCTCCAGGAGCAAATAACTCGACCATTTTACCGGCGTGGTCAGGCAACGTAGTCAGGTTGATGCAACGCGCGAATGTGTTTAGTCAAATTAGAGGGATCCGAGGCTCGGTAAGGGCAACTGGGGCATGCATGTGGACCTGTCTCTTATACACATCTAGATGTGTATAAGAGACAGGTTCACCTCTCTTTGCCAGGTTCACCTCTCTTTGCCCGGTTCACCTCTCTTTGCCCGGTTCACCTCTCTTTGCCCGGTTCACCTCTCTTTGCTCGGTTCACTATTCATTACATTGTAGATGAGAGTGTAGAGTTACAGTGGGAGAAATAAACGGGTGATAATGTCCGAATAGTGACACACTTTTTCGCTCAACTCGAGCAGAGAGCGGACGTAGCACTGATACGCCCTTTAATTGGGGCAAAATGTGTCAGGATGACCCACAGCACGAAAAGAATGGGGTACCGTGTGGGAAAGGGGGGTTTGAGGGTGAGAGTTTGGTGGTAGATACTAGATGGGAATTATAGTAGATGGGAGCGAGATGGTAGTTAGTACCAGTAGATAGTAGCAGTCGATGGTAGATGGTAGGGAGATAGAAGATAGTAGCAGTAGATAGTATTAGTAGATAGTAGCAGTATATATCAGCAACAGATGGTAGATAGTTGTAATGTACGTGACAGACACCATGTGATGGTACTAAGCCATGGTATTTAGTACCTATATGGTGTTCAGTTGATGGTAGTTAGCTCAGGGTTCAACCGATGATAGTAAGAGATGGTAGAGAGTTGATGGTAATCGGTGATGGTAGGCTGAAACGATGAAACAACGTTGATTACGGGTTGGTGTACTATAAATAACATTGATCACGTCTCAATGCCGTTGAAATAACGTTGATTATGAGCTAATGTCATTGGAACAACGTTTAATCGACGTTATTTCAACGTCATAAGCTTGCTGGTCGTGTTTCTGTTGATGTTAAGTTTGGGTTTAAACTCTAACGTCTGTGGTGGGCTGTTGAATTTACGAAATTGTATATACTTATGCACAGCGTATATATTTATGTATATAATTATATATGTATTCATAGAGCAATTGTTTATTTTTAATTAATCACTAAATAATGCGCCTGGTCATTACGACGGTTTCATATATAACATCATTTGCATGTTACATGTAATGAGTGCAACAATAACATGACTTGTTCTGCACGTTACGTGGAATGCATGCGTCTGCTTACTAATTATCATTGTTATCATTGTTATCATTATCGGTTACAATCGGTTATCGGTTATCTCCCCCTATGTTATCTTTGTTACAATCATATGAGGTAATGTTGCCATTGTTATCACTATCCTAGATAATGTTATCATTGTTACAATCATCTAAGCTCTAAGGTAATGTTGTCATTGTTATCACTATCCTAGATAATGTTATCATATGCTTACCCTCATATGCTTATCATTGTTATCATGCAAGGTAGTGTTATCATTGTTATCATCATGCAAGGTAATGATATCATTGTTATCATCATGCAAGCATATAAACGACTGCACGCTATATTTCCCACGAGTTAGTTCCCTGCAGCGCTGGGTTGTTTGCTTGAATTTAATTCAACTCTTTTGTGGGCATAATTTTAACATGTGTATTGATATACATTCAATTTTTCTTGTATAATATTCATTGTTTCTTGTCTGGCTGATTATTTCTTTAATATTATTTGGTATAAAAATTTTTATATACTAGTTATCGTTTTGCATGGAAATTGTTTAAGAAAAGTTTTATTTTAAATATACGTTATGTATATTTATTTAAAGCTGATATGATGGAATATATAAACAATTAGTTATTTATTGATTATTATATAATGTTATATGATTATTTTGTTCAGAGCGACGCTCCCCATGGGGCTTGGCGGGGACGACAAGCGCCCCCCCAGCACAAGTCCCCCCCACGGGGGGCTCACGAGTGGCCCGCCCCCCACACGTCGCCACTCAAGTGGGGGGGAGGACCTGGCCACTCTCACGGCCACTCTAACCCTGGAGGGGGAGATGGGGGGACGGCAGAGGACGGCGAGTGGCAGCAGCACTCTGCAGTACATGGGTGAGTGGCAGCAGCACTCTGCAGTACATGGGCTGTCTCTTATACACATCTAGATGTGTATAAGAGACAGCCCTAACCCCCCCTCCCCCACCAGGTGTTCAACGGGTGCCCCCTGCACATCCACTGCACCTCCTCCCCCCTAACCCCCCCTCCCCCACCAGGTGTTCAACGGGTGCCCCCTGCACATCCACTGCACCTCGTCCCCCCTAACCCCCCCTCCCCCACCAGGTGTTCAACGGGTGCCCCCTGCACATCCACTGCACCTCCTCCCCCCTAACCCCCCCTCCCCCACCAGGTGTTCAACGGGTGCCCCCTGCACATCCACTGCACCTCCTCCTGGATCCACCCGGTGACGAGGGACCAGCACATCCTGGTGGGGGCGGAGGAGGGCATCTACACCCTCAACCTCAACCAGCTGCACGAGGCCGCCATGGACCAGCTGTGGCCCTCCCGCACCACCTGGATGCTCGTGGTTAAAAGCGTCCTAATGACTATATCAGGTGGGGCAGCTAAAGTGGGTCATGCAAAGGTTGGTCAGCAGAGGTGGGTCATTACAAGTGGGTCATTGAAACATGTAGAGGTGGGTCAGCAAAGGTGGGTCAGCACCAGCAAAGGTGGGTCAGCAAAGTTGGGTCAGCAAAGGTTGGTCAGAAACCAATATTATAATACCTTAAGTCCTTACTTAAGGTATTATAATTATGACACCATCAATTGATTAATTATAATTAATTATGACCTTAAGTCATAACTAATTAATTGCACGTTATTTATGACCTTATACAATAGACTTATTAACTTCCTTTAACCGCTAGTTATCTCTATACATTTTTAATAACCTACCTACTCATTGTTGAAGCTCATTCTCGTTTAATATTGACACAATTTCAAACTTTAAAGTTGAATTCCGACTTTGAAATTCCATCAAAATTATAAGGAAAAAAATCTTTTCATGAAATTGATCACTCGACGCCGAACTTTAAATACTCATTATAATTTATTTATCAAATCAGTCCAATAGATTTTTATCAATTTGTTTCAATAAATGAAGTAATTTAAATATAATGAAGTAAATAATCGTGACATAGTTAAAGCGTTTATGGAATTGATCACGCGACGACAAATTTTTAAAAACTCTATATAATTTATTCATCAAATCACAGCAAAAGATTTTAATTATTTGCTTTATATAGATAAAATGATTTGAATAAATAATGAAGTAAACAATGGTGTCACAGGCAAGGGGCCATACCTGTACCGCCACGACCTGATCGCCCTACACAGCCGCCACCTGCACCGCTTCTCCTTACCTATGAACAAAATACCTGAGAAACTAATACCCAGGAAATACGCCATCACCTCCAAGGTAATACGCCATCACCTCCAAGGTAATACCCAGGAAATACGTCATCACCTCAAAGGTAATACCCAGGAAATACGTCTTCACTTCTGAAGTAATACTCAGTTCATTGCCCTGGGGTTTAGCTCCTTGCCCGGGGGTTATGCCCATTTCCCGAATTTTCCGTTTCTAGGCAGGGGTTCAGTTTACAGGCTCGGTGTTTCATTTGACAAAACCTTAACCCCTGCCTCTCCTTAACCTCTCTTTAACCCCCTGTCCCCCTCAGGTAGCGGACACGAAGGGTACGCTGCGCTGCTGTATGGCACGTAACCCCTACAACGGCTACAAGTACCTCTGCGGGGCCACTGCTACGTACCTCTACCTCATGCAGTGGTACGACCCACTCAACAAGTTCATGCTCCTCAAGGTGGGTCAACATCTTCCTTAGTGTCCTTAGGGTCCTTGGTGTCCTTGGTGTCCTTGGTGTCCTTGGTATCCTTGGTATCCTTGGTGTCATTAGGGTCCTTGGTGTCCTTAGGGTCCTTAGTGTCCTTGGTATCCTTGGTGTCATTAGGGTCCTTGGTGTCCTTAGGGTCCTTGGTATCCTTAGGGTCCTTAGTGTCCTTGGTGGCATGTTGAACTATATAAGGTTGACCCACGAGAAGTTCCGTCTTTCAGTTCAGCTTTCTTGTTACGTCACGTAGAGCGAGAAACGTAAACAAACCCGTCATTCTCATGACGGATTGGTTGACAGGTTTGATCGCATTTCGGTGATTTGTTAATGCCCGTGACGTCACTGAGATCAGTGACGTCACATGCGAACAATGAACTACATCTGTAGAAATGAGCTTCTCATGGTCAACCTTATACTATTTCAACCATGTCCTTAGTGTCCTTGGGATGTGTTAGTTACGTAGCAGGATGACCCACACAGAGGCAGAAAGTGCATCATCATCAGGAACAATTCTAACTGATTTCTTTGAGTGTAGATTCCAACTCATCCTGGACCCTAGTTATCGTAGCTTTATTAAGTACGTTTTATCCGTACATGAATGAATATATTAATTTATTCCAATAATCCCGAACTTAAAAGTTGAACCTTCGTTTTCGGTCCGATTTATATTCTTTTGTTTAATTAAATGTAATCCGTCAAAATGAAAATAATCAGAGAGCAGCTACATAAATATCGATCATAAAATGTAAACACGTCTTTTTTGTACACTAATTAATTTCTGTTTCCTAATTAATTTCTATTAATTCTTATTAATTTTTATTTTCTAATTAAATCGTAATTAAATTATAATTAATTTCTAATTAGTGCCGATCGACGAAACTTCTGTTACCATAATATTTCTATCAGGATTTATTTCGATGCAAAAAAATTGATTTTCATTATTATTGATTGATTCACTATTAGAAGAAGAATTATTTATTGTCGCTATAGAAGAAAATCAAGATTAATAATGAATACATAATTTTACATCGTTGAGAAACGTTGGGTTTCATCGCTGACGCCATGCGCTATTGAATGGTAATTAGTATGACCTGAGGGTGGTTCGGTTGTAGCGGGATCCGAGGATATAGAGGAACAACGTAAACGATTATAGAATATACTTTCGGGATTATAGTTCGGCTTACAGTTTAGGATAAAGTAAGTTTATAAGTTGGAGCTTTTACAATGATGTCTTCGGCGTCCAGTTGAAATATATCGTCCTCTACTTTGACGTTAATTTAGGGTTAACGGACAGGAGTAAGGGCTTACACACGACTGTTCTCGGCCCAAGACTGAAGTTATTCGCTTGCGACAAAGCTTATATAGCTTTGCAATTGACGTCACCAAGGGCGTGACTTAATAAAGAAGGAAGGGAAACATAAGGAAATGTTTATGAACATAGCGCAGTGAAGGAGATTATCTTCAACAAGGAAGATATTAATGAGTAAATATCCGGGAACGAATGGTATCAACATTGTCACCTTACACTAACCCCCTGTCCCCGTCCCCCAGACGAGCGAGTGCTACCTGGCGCACCCGCTGCGGGTGTTCGAGCTGATCATCACCCCAGACCTGGAGTACCCGTTGGTGTGCGTGGACGTGGGACGTGGCGCCCACCCGTCCCCCAGCGGCGCCCACCCGTCTCCCAGCGCCGCCCAGTCCCCCAGCGTGACGCTCTCCCTCATAGACCTGAACACTGGGTGCCCCTGGTATCCCCCAGAGGTGTACTCGGAGTACAACAACGGCACCCTGGTCCCCCAGCGCTCCCTGCACGACACCCACGCCCCCGCCGCCCCCGTCACCTCCCTCACCCAGATAGAGAAGGACGCCATACTCGTCTGCTATGATGGTACGTCGGGGTACTTTAGGGTACGTCAGGGTACTGAGGGGTATGTCGGGGTACTACAGGGGTACGTCGGGATCCTGCGGGGTACTGTAGGGTACGTCGGGGTACTTTAGGGGTACTGTGGGGTACGTCGGAGTAATTTAGAGGTACGTCGGGGTAATTTTGGGTACTGCGGGGTACTTCAGGGGTACGTCGGGGTACTTCAGGGGTACGTCGGGGTACTTCAGGGTACTTCAGCTGTTTGGGATACGTCGGGGTACTTCAGGGTACATGTCAGCGGCGGGAGTCAGAGTCACGACGTTGTTCCTGCATGAAATATTGAAGACAATTTAAGTATTAAAGCCTCGCATTTATCGTCGTATTTTCATTGCTTGTACCCGCAACCTGCCAACTTAATGACAAGATGCTAACTTAAATAGAAATAACAATTGTGAATAATTATAATAATAAAAGATATTATTTTTTAATGATATGTATTAAGTAAGAGTTTGTTTTCAGACGTGGACACAATTATTTATTAATGATATAAAATTGACATAAAAATGATTTATTAATGATATAAAATGATTTATTAATGGTATAAAATTATTTATTAATGATATAAAATTATTTATTAATGATAAGTAAGAGTTTGTTTACAGACGTGGTGCGCGTGGTGGATCTCAAGGGCAGACTCAAGGAGCGCAAAAGACAGACTTCAGAACTGGTCTTTGATTTTAATATTGACTCCATTGGTGAGTGTTGTTATAAAATATACATTTTGCTGATGTAAATATAGTTTATTTATATAGATTGGTGATATATCCATTAATAATTTAGTTTAATCATCATCGCTATTATCATCATTTTTAATTAATCATCATCGCTATCATTGATGATGATTAATCAGATCATTGAGGTTTAAATATAATGGGGAAAAATTAGGTAATTATTATTTTGTTTGTTTGTACAACTAAATGCTGGCACCCGCAATGATAACGTGCAGCTGTCACGCAATTAATCAGGATAAACTAATTAGCTAATTAGCGAAATGTTAACTTATTACGTTTACCAATTAGCGAACTGTTTACTAATTAGCGTACTGTTAAATTATTAAAAAACTTGATTAGTGAACTGTGTATCTGTCACGGCTCTGTATCTGTCACGGCTCTGTATCTGTCACCTCTGTATCTGTCACCTCTGTATCTGTCACCTCTGTATCTGTCACCTCTGTATCTGTCCCCTCTGTATCTGTCACGGCTCTGTATCTGTCACCTCTGTATCTGTCACCTCTGTATCTGTCACCTCTGTATCTGTCACCTCTGTATCTGTCACCTCTGTATCTGAATAAATAGGGAGTTTTTATGTTAAGTAGGTTTGAGATTTTTCTATTTTTATTATTACTTTTATTTTATCGTCAATCGCTTTAATTTCTTCAGATTGGTCCGAAGTGGTTTCAAAGGATACGTGACTAAGTTCTCGTATGAATAGGTTACGGCAAAAAATAGTACAAAGATAGGCTTGTAATGAAACACTGATACATTTCATATTGAATGGAAAAATTCAAATTCACATCCTAGGTTAACAAAATTCTCTAGTACGGGGTACTTGACAAAGGTAATCTGAACACAATCAAAAGTCCAAAACCTATCAGTTTACATCATTAAAATCATCTAATTTTACCGGAAATATGTTGATTCGTTGCAGTTCCAATGCGTACGACAGTTGTAAACGACCGTAACTTTGCGGCCGTAACTTTGCGACCGTAACTTTGCGTAGGTTCAGCGGCCGTACCGCTGCTGTATTCTCGCGTCTTCTTTACAGTTGCTCTTTCTTCATGGGCGTATTTCCCGCACTATAATTATGTCTCGCGGCCGGTCTAACCGTAGAATTTATGATAACCGTACTGCGGAATAGTGGTGTACGTCTTCATAGTCCATGATAATACTTCAAGCCCGTTGCCGTACTGCGGTTGACGATGACTGTGACCGTACCGCTTCTTCTGATGAAAATTGTGACCGTATCGTATTGATGACCGTACCGATGATAATTCTTGGTGTATAGCTCGAAAACTTGAATCTTCTGATGACGGGCGTTATAATCGTTGTACAACTCGTGGCCCTCACGCATTGTCTCACGGCTGAGTCGCAGCCGTACAGTTGATGTCGACCGTACTTTAATTGTAGATTTTACATAAGACGCGCTCACAGAAATCGAAAACGGCAAACCGCCGCCTCACGGCCGCGGCCGTTACAAAGACCGCTGACTGCAGACCGTGCTTGCGTGACGGTCACCTCCGTAGAACCAACCTTTGGCACCAATTTTAAGGTCCTTATTTACGCTAGTGTCGCGCACAGTTAAGCCTATACCCTCGAAGTGACGCCGCATTCCTCGAATGGAATTTCCCTCGCGCTGAGCTCGCCCACGCTCAATGTAAACTAACTCCTTCCCACGATCTCGAAACAACCGCGCCTTACACACTTGCTATATCGTTTCGACCCGCATTCTTAGCATTCTTAACACCTACCCATTATACATGTTCAATATTACCTACTTTATTCATATCTGTCATCTGTCACCCCTGTCACCTGACCACCTGTCAACTGTCAACAGTGTGCCTGACAGACAGCGTGCTGGCGTTCCACACGCACGGCATGCAGGGCCGGAGCTTCAACGTGGGCTGCGGGGTCTGTGGGTCGCGGGGTTTGAAGGTCTCAGGATCAAAGGGACTCGCAAGCTTTTGGGGTCTGAGGACCTCGCGAGCTCTCGGGGTTTGAGGGCTTCGTGGGGTTTGAGGGTTTCTCGGGGTCCGAAGGTCGCGGGGTCGGAGGGTCGCCGGATCTGTGGGTCTCATAGCCCCAGCATGCCTTGTCCTCCACTTTGACCGTAAAAATTACCTCGCATTGCCCTTACAATATCTTGAGTATTGCCCTTACGTCGATCTTACGTCGCCCTTACATCGCCCTTACGTTGCCCTTACGCCGCCCTTTCGTCGCCCTTACGTCGCCCTTACGCCGCCCTTACGTCGCCCTTTACGTCACCGTCAACATGGCGGCGGCTCTGTCTAGGCCGACAACTGTTGACATTTTAAACATTATTTTCTGCACATCAAATTGTCGAAATTTGGTGAGCAAATAAAAATATTTTAAAAATTTTGTTTTAGTTTAATGTTGGTTCTTATGGAACCGCATGACTGGTTTGTACCTGCGATGGACCTCTCATTTGCTGTCTTATCATCCTTGTTTTATCATCGTTATTCTCGTGGCCTCTTATTGTGGACTGTCCTCATTGTGGCCTCTTGGTCTCTTATTGTGGACTGTCCACATTGCGGGCTGTCCCCATTGTGGCCTCTTGGCATCCCATTGTGGCCTCTTGGTCTCTTATTGTGGACTGTCCCAATTATGGCCTCTTGGCCCGTTTTAACATTTATGCTTCAAAGTCGCTTGATTTTAACCTTTAACCGCTGGACACTGCGCCTCATGACAGGACGTTAGCCTCGATTAACGGGCCTCATTTACGTCACTAACGGTCGCTGCTGGCCCGTGTACGTCACTAACGGTCGCTGCTGGCCCGTGTACGTCATTAACGGTCGCTGCTGGCCCGTTATCGTATTAAAATGTACATACCCGTCATTGTTTATCGCTTTAGTCATGTTCAGTTTTACGGTGCAGGCGAGGAAGGTATTNGACGGAGACCCACGAACTGACGGAGACCCGCGAATTCACGGAGACCCACGGACTGACGGCGACCCACGAACTGACGGCGACCCACGAACTGACGGAGACCCGCGAATTCACGGAGACCCACGGACTGACGGCGACCCACGAACTGACGGCGACCCACGAACTGACGGAGACCCACGAACTGACGACGACATACTTACTAGCGGCGATCCATTTAGTGACAGCGACCCACGAATCCTTGGCGCCCATTTGCTGTGTACTACGAACTCGTTTCGCTGTTGTTGTGTAGTTTCGGTAAATAATTCATTTTGTGCATGTTTTCGCGTAAGAAAATAGTTTATCATTTGGTGTAATGTAAGAAAGAAATGTTGTTAACAGCATGATAATAACGATGTACTGTGGAAGATGGGGGTGTGCATGTTGGGGCTGCTTTGTGCTGCACGGAACCACTCACTCCCTTATTTTCCTCACATGTCCTTCTCACGCCCTTCTCACGTCCTTCTCACGCCCTTCACACGCCCTTCTCGCGCCTCTCTCGCGCCTCACTCGCGCCTCTCTCACGCCTTTCTCACGTCCCTCTCACGCCCCTCAGGACCATCACGCTGGAGAGTCGCCCCTCGTCGATGCAGGACGGCGAGGGCGGCGAGGGCGTCAACCTCTACATCCTGGCGGGCCATGAGACCAGCGCCTTCTGAGGGTCTACGGGTCTCGCGGTGGTGTCAAGGAGTCTGAGGGCTGCCGGGTCTGTGAGTCACAGGATCTGTGGGCTATAGGGTCTGTGGGTCGCGGGGTCCGAGGGTCTCACGGGGTTTGAAGGTATCAGGATCAAAGGAACTCTCGAGCTTTTGGGGTCTTCGGACCTCGCGAGCTCTCGGGGTTTGAGGGCTTCGTGGGGTTGAAGGGTTTCTCGGGGTCTGAGGGTCGCTGGATCTGAAGGTAACCGGGTCTGAGGGTCTCATAGCCCCAGCATGCCTCGTCCTTCACGTGGCGCCTCGTGGTACAAGGTCTTACAGGAAAAAGTTGTTACTGAAAAAGTAACATTACCCTTTTTTGTTGTTCCGCAATTTGACCGTAAAAATTGCCTCGCATTTCCCTCACAATATCTTGAATATTGCCTTTACGTTGCCCTTACGTTGCCCTTACGTTGCCTTTACGTTGCCCTTACGTCGCCCTTACGTTGCCCTTACGTCGCCCCTTACGTCACCGTCAACATGACAGCGGCTCTGTCTAGGCCAACAACTGTTGACATTTTAAACATGATTTTCTGCACATCAAATTTTCGAAATTTGGTGAGCGAATAAAAATGTTTTAAATTTTTGTTTTAGTTTAATGTTGGTTCTTATGGAACCGCATGACTGGTTTGTGGCCTCTTGGCCTATCATTACGGACTGTCCCCATTGTGGCTTCTATGCCTCTCATTGTGGACTGTCCCCATTGTGGCCTCTTGGCCTATCATTGCGGACTGCCCCATTGTGGCCTCTTGGCCTCTCATTACGACTCTCCCCATTGTGGCCTCTTGGCCTATCATTGTGGACTGATTTAATTATGGCCTCTTGGCCTGTTTTAACATTAATGCTTCAAAGTCGCTTGATTTTAACCTTTAACCGCTGGACACTGCGCCTCATGACAGGACGTTAGCCTCGATTAACGGGCTTCATTTAGGTCACTAACGGTCGCTGCTGGCCCGTGTACGTCACTAACGGTCGCTGCTGGCCCGTGTACGTCATTAACGGTCGCTGCTGGCCCGTTATCGTATTAAAATGTACATACCCGTCATTGTTTATCGCTTTAGTCATGTTCAGTTTTACGGTGCAGGCGAGGAAGGTATTAACTATTCAATGGTGATTAATTAGGTATTAACTATTCAACGGTGATTAATTAACTGTAAATAATGTTTATTTCGTTGAGATATTTGACTACTAAACCTGCCGGTCACGTTACACTCACTGAAATGAATGTGACTTTGTCTAAATAGTGATGCACTTTTTGCCCTTGTTTGGGTCATCCTGACCCAGTTTGGCTAGGTGAGAGGGTATACTAGTGCTAAGTGTAGTAAATGCATCAAAATTTGGACAATTGTATACATTTATTTCTCTGAGTGTACGTCGTAAGTCGTGGGCCTGATTATCGACGAGATGCGATGTCGTAAGTGAGTTACGACTGAGGATCGCGCACGTTATAAAGCTTTAAATTACGACTAGCTTAGGAGTTGTGGTGGTCGTAAGAATGTCTGAAGATGCGGTGGAGGACCAAGCCTAGGGAATATCTTGACTTATGTAAGGCAAACTTACCATTGATATATAATAAAAAACACAATTGGTCGGGACTTTCATTTATCCGATCTTGTCATTCATCCTTCATTAGGATACGCTATGAATTATACATAACGGATTTTATTCACGGACTAAGATTGGGCAAAACCGTTTCCGGACAAAATTTTTTGGCATTGATAACTCTGCTCACTCAAAATACAGTATAAAACTTCACCCACGTGGATAAATTCTAACGTTTTTTCTACGGGATTCATGTGGAGTTAGCAGTTCTAAATTTGATTAGAGGGCAAAGAGTGTTCAAGCCCACGGCCACGCTGCAGGCCCCGCCCACGACGCCTACAGGCCACGCCCACGACGCCTACAGGCCCCGCCCACGACGCCTACAGGCTGCACCACCGAATTCTTGCAGCTTTCCGTGGGTGTGAAAACACGATTCGCTACTCTCATCTCGGTCTCTGATAAGGTCGTATATTGATGTTGAACGTACGTCATTCTTGTTAATTCATTACTCATTTCTGTTATGTTTTACGTTACTCTCTGTTCAATTACTTACCACTGTTGCCCAACAACTTAACCCCACAACTGCCCTGCCTACACAACGTAACCCCACAACTGCCCTGCCTACACAACGTAACCCCACAACTGCCCTGCCTACACAACGTAACCCCACAACTGCCCTGCCTACACAATGTAACCCCACAACTGCCCTGCCTACACAACGTAACCCCAAAAGTAAAAGTAGGACAATGAAGCCAAAAAATTTACGTAGAGAATTGAAAATGTATTTGTACGAGAACTTATTTATACTCTTATTATTACAACACATTTGTATCGATTGACGGACTTTGAATAGCACGTTAGATTATACAGAGAAGAAAGACCCGTAGCGGGCACGTCTAATCAGACGTTTAATTAGACGGGCATGCCTAATTAAGTTATTTAATTAGACCAACAAGCCTAAACTTGACCGGCTAGCGAGCCTAATAAGATATTAATTAGAAAGTCGCACTTAATTGGACAGTTTAAAAAAGACTGGCACGCCTACCTACACAGTTTAATTAGCTGGTCACGCTAATTGGACTGTTCATTAAGACAGACTTGCCCCATTATGGTTTAACCAGATGAACATGCCTAATTAGACGGTTACATTTTACGGTAAGGACCAATTAGACGGCCACGCTTGATTAAACTTCGGTATTATAACGACTCCAATTCACAGCCAATAATTCAAAACTATTGTACGGTTAAAAATCACGAGCGTTTATTAGTGGGAAATCAGAGTTAAGCGATCGCCGCTATATGAATTGTTA